TGACCCAAGACAAAGGAATGACCGAAACTGCGTAAGTCCGTAAGCAAATATGATTGACTTAATGAGATATGAGCTTGTAAGCATGTAAGTCAAGTTACGAAACCACTTGACTAACCTCTCCGTCGAGGGTCATTAACCTTTAACCCTCCAAGGAAAGGCAAGACCGGGGTTGCGTAATGTGACATGTCTGGTTTAGTTGATGATCTTACAAATGAGCAGACAAATTGAGTCAACTTCTTTTTGACGGCGGCTCAACACCCTCTCTCTCTTTCAATTTATCAATCAAGTATAAATAATTCCTACTCAACTTTCCATCTCCTTACCTCACATTCAACGTATTTCCTGATCTATTCATTTAAATAGATTCTATTATCTTTCTTTTTTAACACAGACGTACCGTAATCAGCAAACCTACTAGTTTAAGACCATTTTATTTCATGTCTAGTTTCTACCACTTCTGATCGTTGGATTGTTTGCTCATGTTGTCGATGTCATGTTTGTGAGACATGCCGACTTATTCGACAAAGATTTGTAGGACACAAAGATGCTTGCAAAGGAAGCTGGATCCAACGGTCAGAAGTGGCCGAGCACATGGTAGAAACTGGACATGAAATAAAATGGTCTCAAACTAGCAGGTTTGCTGATTACGGTACATCTGTGTTCAATGAAAAATAAGATAAAATTATTGAAATGAATAGCTTAGGAAATACGTTGAATGTGAGCAACGAAGATAAAAAGTTGAGTAGGAATTATTTATGCTTGATTGATAGATTGAAAGAGAGAGAGGGTATTGAGCCGCCGTCAAAAAGAAGGCAACATGATTTGTCTGCTCAGTGATTGTTCTAATTTCACTCACATTCGTTCAACATGTTCATCAACCGAACCAAATGTGGCAGATTACTCATCCCAGTCATGCCTTTCCTTCGAGGGTTAAACGTTAATGACCCTTAACCGAGAGGTTATGACAAGTGGTTTCGTAACTTGACTTACACGCTTACAATCTCATATCTCATTATCTCAATCATACTTGCTTACCGACTTACGCAGTCTCGGTCATTGCTTTGTCTTGGGTCATTAGGCCTTGATGATCCGAGTCTAACTGTAACCTTTTCATAACTCTGATTTAGGACCGCTATTGCGTATAGACGCCAACACACACACACACACACACATACACTCGAGCAAAAGTAGCAGGACAAGTATGAAA